GTCTCGCAAGTTCTTCAACCATGAGGTTCTTCTTCGTCCTGGACTGCGTTTGCCTGCTATTTTTCCTTGCATGATGTTTTGTAGCAATCTATATTTGGGACCTCTCATTACATGTCCGAAATATTTCAGCTTTCTCTGCTTGATGCTTTTTATGATCTCAGTAGTCTTGCTGAGACGTTCTAGTATTGTGGAGTTACGAATCTTCTCCACCCAGGAAACTTTTAAAATTCTTCTATAGCACCACATTTCGAAAGCCTCAAGGCGATTTAGATCGATTTTATTCACAGTCCAGGACTCGACAGCATAAAGTAAGACCGAGAACACGTAACAGCGAAGTAGGCGGATCCTTAATGCCAATTTTAGGTCTCTGTTACATAACACCTTGGACATCCTTCTAAAAGCAGCTCTAGCCTGCTCTATTCTGGATCTAATTTCGCCGTGATTTTCTGCATTACAATTTAATTGCTGTCCAAGGTAGACGATTTTATCAACTTGCTCAAGTTTGATATTATTTACATATATAGACGGTTTTATATTCTGTTGTTTACTTATTACGAGTATTGTATACAGATTGTTTAGTTCTTTAAAAATTTAGGTCTATTGGTTTTTAATAGGATGGATTGAAGGACTGGGTGGATTGAGTAGCTCAGAAGCCACGTTCATGCACACAGCAAGTCCCAAGCCCAGATAAAAGAGGACGGTTGATGGACCACGTTAGCATACTATCCATTGTAAAATAAAACAAGGCTCAAAGAACCAATATAAAGCCTTGGAACCAGATGGAATCTAAGATGACGAACCACGCTAAGAAAAGGAAAACGAGAAGGAAAAATAAGCCCACAATCAGATTAGCAACATGGAACAGTACTTCTTTTAACTACAAAGACCAAGAAATAATAGCAGAACTGATAGATAAAAACATAGACATTTGTGCAATTCAAGATACCAAGAGACCAGAAAGAAAGATAAAAGCCAAAGAGACTATAACCAATATTTTCTAGCATACAGTTGAGTGAAGAAAGAAGAACGATCACGAGCAGGCGTAGGTATACTTGTTCATAAAAAAATTTAAAAACAACATAAACAATTGCCGTTATATCTCCGAAAGAATAATACATATGAACATCACAACGGACTGCCAAAAACTAAATATCATATCTATAGCCCCGAGGACTGCAAACCTAAGGAGAAACAAGAGACATTCTACGAACAATTTCAAACCATCCTAAATGAAATACGTTATGAAAAACTTTACTTCCTATGGGTAACTTTAATGCACGAATCGGAAATGAAGTAGTTCTAGGAGTAAAACAAACATTTAATGAAAACCATGTTAACGCAAATGGAGAAGTCATGGCTAATCTCATGAGCTTTTAACGAACTGAGAATCAATAATACATTTTTAGATCATAAGTTCCAGTATAAATATACATTTGAAAACTCCAGAGGTCACAAATCTATGCAGATTCACCGAGAAAAAATTTAATGTAAAATTCTAAAAGATAAATGTGCCAAAGGAGGATAGCACAGAAGATACAGCTGAAACAAATAGACGACGTCGAAGATATAAACGCGAGCTGGGAGAAAATTAAAAACATTTAAGAAGCAGCAATAGGAAAACGCAAAGTCATATTGAACAAAAGAAATAAAAACAATGCACCATGGTTCAGAAAAGAAATAAAAGAGAAATGTGAAGAAAAATGAGAGGCATATACGAAGTACAAAACATCAAATACCCCAGAATCCCGAGACAACTATAGAAGAATACGAAATGAAACAAAGCAGTTGGTAAGAAGAACAAAAAAATAACACTGGGAATAGTTTGCAAAAAGGATGGAAAGGAACTTGTACGGTACACAAAAACAAATATAGAGATTCATAAGAAACCAACGGATAGAAATGGCAGAATTGAAGGAATACAATAACATACCAGCAAACGAATGAAAAAGATACCTGACAGAAATCTTTAAAGGAAAGGAAAATAATAATCAACACAATAACGTGCCTGAATTAAGACACAACATAGAAATCAGTTTTCAGGAAGTAGAGGTAGCCATAAATTTACTCAAAAATATAAAGTCACCAGGACCGACCAGATGAAATAACTAACGAGCTTCTAAAACACGGAGGAGAAAGTATAACCCTAGAGATGACAAAACTTATACAAAAACTAATATTACATTGCAAGATACCAAGCCCATGGATAAATAGCATAACGGTACCAATGTTCAATAAAGGATAATCCCTATAATCTCATAATAATGCCAAGTATATCTATAATCCCAAGTACCTCGGCGTCACCCTGAACAGAACACTCTCCTTTAAGAAACATCTTGAGAACACCGCAGCAAAGCTGAGAACCCGTAACAACATCATACAGAAGCTTTGCAAGACTGCATGGGGCTTATCAGCAGGTACACTTCGGTGTTCAGCCCTTGGACTCGTATACTCCGCAGCTGAATACTGCTCTCCTGTTTGGCTGAATAGCGTTCACACAAAAATTATAGATACCCAGCTCAATGTCGCCATGCGTCTCATATCTGGAACGATCAAGTCTACACCTGTGGAGTGGCTTCCACTACTGAGCCATATACCTCCACCTAATCTTCGTCGTCAGCATGCTCTGCTTAGAGAATTCCAAAAGCTGCTTAACAACCCGCAATTACCTATACACACATATGTCGCCGACGCTAATTCACATCGATTGCGCTCCAGAAAACCTCCGACTAGAGATGCAATAAACTTGAGTTCCAACAATTTCCAAATGAACTCCCAGTGGAAGAACATGCAGAGCGACAGACCGAACCTAATAATGAGAAACACACCATGCATCACAGAAACTCCACCAGGTTTTGACCTCCCCCGAAAATCATGGTCAACTCTTAACAGGATAAGAACGGTCATGGAGTCTGCGCAGATTTCCTTTATAAATGGAGATGAGAACCTCTGCTGAGTGCGACTCATAGAGAAATATTTCTCTATGGTGCGATTGCGGCGCCGAGAAACAGACCATCCAGCATATGATTGCCGAATGCCCTCGGAGGAAGTATTATGGAGATCCTCTAGACTTCGCCTCTGCAAAGTCTGCAAATGCTAAATAAATAAATAAAAAATTCAATAAAGGAGATACAGAAGACCCCAACAATTATAGAGGTATAAATCTACTGAATACCGCAGTTAAGATTACCACAAAAGTCCTAACCAACAAAATCAATAAACTAACAACTTTATCAGATGACCAACAAGGATTCAGATCCGGACGTCCTGCGAGTACAATAAACCATATATCTACAACTTTTATGTTTTATAAACCTGACAAAGGCTTTCGATCGAATTCAAGTCGAAGTCGTCTTACATCTAAAATGGAAATCAAAACAAAATGACGGTATTAGATTTTGATTTGATACAGAGCAGCAACAAGCCGCATATACGTATTTCGATCTCTTTAGATCTCCTCAGTACGGTATAGTTACTACTCCTAGTATCAAATCAAAATCTAATAGAGTCATTTTGTTTTGTTTATTTACTTCATTTGGAGTACCAGAAATCGAATTCACTACGAATATATGTCATGATGAACGGCATTTGGACTGCAATTTTTTAGACTCCCTTGCAGATTCATTCATCAAGCTGTTTGCTTCGCAAGTTTTAGGGGCACGGCGGCTTATATTTGAATTCGATTTCGCCAGGTAGAAATCATATGATTTCTCTTTTTGTTTTTATAAATGGAAAACTAACACAGTGTATAACAGTACAAAGCGGAGTCAGACAGGGTGACTCGTTAAGCCCACTTCTCTTTAATATAATAATGGACGAAATAATACAAGCAGTACGTAAAGGTTATGGTTACAGAATGGGAAACACAGAAATTTAAATAGGTATTATGTTATGCAGATGACGCCGCATTAATCGCCGAGACCGAAGAAGAGCTCCAAAGATTAACACACATCTTCAATATAACAGCCAAGAAATACAATATATGATAATATCAGCAGAAAAAAACCAAATGTTTGACAATACCTAAATACTCACTACGATGTAAGATCGAAATTGATGGGAAAATAATAAAGCAGGAAGCAAGGTTTAGATATTTGGGAATAGATATAACTAGTTACGGAGATGTTGAAGAAGAAGTACGACAACAAATTTTAAAAGTAAGTAAAGCGGCGGGATCTCTTGATGACACAATCTGAAAGAACAAACACCTAAGACAAGACACAAAAAACAAGAATCTATAAAGCAGCAATTGGACGTATATTAACATACACGGCGGAGACAAGACCTGACATATCTAAAACGAGACGAGTACTAGAAACAACAGAGATGAAAATACTCGACGAATATCAGAGAAAAGACTGTTGGATATGGAGAGAAGCGAAAACTAAGGGAATAGATATAACTAGTTACGGAGATGTTGAAGAAGAAGTACGACAACAAATTTTAAAAGTAAGTAAAGCGGCGGGATCTCTTGATGACACAATCTGAAAGAACAAACACCTAAGACAAGACACAAAAACAAGAATCTATAAAGCAGCAATTGGACGTATATTAACATACACGGCGGAGACAAGACCTGACATATCTAAAACGAGACGAGTACTAGAAACAACAGAGATGAAAATACTCGGACGAATATCAGAGAAAAGACTGTTGGATATGGAGAGAAGCGAAAACATAAGAAGAGCATGCAATAAAGAAGATATAAATGGATGGGTGACAAAACAGAAACAGGAATGGAACGCACACAGTAGAATGGCAGAGGATAGGATAGTACGAATAGCACTAGTTAAGTCACTAAATGGACGAAGAAGTATTGGCAGACCAAGAAAAATGTAGTGCAATAATTTAAACAATTTAGGATGCTAATATTGAAGAAGAAACATGCTTTAAAGCCTACATACCCGAAGGAACAACAACAAGAAGAAGGTTATTAATATTTATTTATTTGATTTTAACCTGTTGTAGAAATGTTTATATTAATTATGGACTTTTATTTTCAGAGCGCAATCACCCACAAAAATGCTAATGATAAGTCTAATGTAAAATTAGTATGGAAAGCACCTAACAAAGTAGGAAAATATGTCTTATAGTAAGTATTTTTATTGTTTATTTGAAATATATAATATTAAGATAGATATTAATATTCAGACATGGATTATTTGAAATAAAGGTATTTCAATACCTTTGAATAATTATACGTAGTGTATGAAGGAGCTCTCATGAAGTTATTCGTACTGGTGGAGGTCACAGAAGATATTGTGCTTAACAGAATAACTACATTTTTCTCAAAAGATAATGTGTCTATTGTCACAATATTTTTGGTAGAAGTTTCTATCTTGGGTTATACCAATACCATTCCCCTTTACCGACGTGTCCTGCCTAAACGTCTCCCCCATGGTCTTCTTTGATCTTCCTCTCCTACTCCTTCCAGAAACGTTCGAATCAGCATTTCTTCGTATTGGGTGATTAAACATCTCGACGTTGAACATACCCGAACCATCTTAGCCTATCGTTCCACCTCTAGACTTTTTCCATAACATGCTTATTCTTAATTTTATATTTTTGTCACTTGACTCATTCATGTAAGCATTCTCATTTCCGCCACATTTCCAAGATCTGGAAAACACTGAATGTATCATATCTTATAGGAAAGAGATAAAAAGATTGTAATACTAACCAAAAAGTGTTGACCACTGGAGAGAAAAGTACAGTAAAGACAGGCCTGCAGACTTTCTCTTGCCCCGTACACAACGTCCTCAGAAATTGTAGAGTACCGGCGTACTTATATATCTACATCAACATACTCTGCCAAGTTTTCTACAAGTACAAAAAAGAGATAGATTATATTATCGTCAACAGAAGATATAGAAATTCTATAGTATTATCCGAAACTTATCCAACAGCGAACATATTCTCCGATCAAAATCGGTTTTTTTGTCGATAAGAGTAAAACTTAAGAATGTAAAGCACTCTACCTCCAAGAAAATCATGTATACAAGGCGGCTCAATGTCGGCAACAATCTTTAGAAGAAGATTTTGCTGTACAATTTGAAAGCATATTCAACATAGACTTGGGCAATTATAAGATTTTCAAAGTTTTAGATATCTTGTATTCTTTATGAAAAATTAAAGATATTGTGACACAGGCTGCAAGAAACATAAATAAGAAATTGATGTTTTTGATTGACTGCTCACAAAACAATATTAGGAATTCGTTACCGAATATAGCCAACTTTCATGACTGTTCTATTTTATGAGCAACCTCCCTGTATGTAAGTTTCCTCCTCAAGTTCCTCACCTCCTCAAGATTTTGTAGCATTTGTTTGAAACCATGTCTTTGGGTTCTTTAATAAATTTTACTTTTCTACTACTATTTATATATTATATTATTAATTGTGTAAATCTTATATTTACTTATCTAATCTTTTTAGTGCCACCGTTGCAGAAACTGGAGAAAGATACTGGGCACGAAAACCTACCGAAGTCATTAATGTTTTCTAAAAAATTTTATGTTGTAAATATTTTATTTTTAATAAAAATTATTCAGATGTGATATTTTAATACTGTGTTTTTTATTAAAACCCCTCATTAGATAAAAAATTATTGGATATGATCAATAACGATTTACCGTTATGAAAATAAGATATACCTAATTACGAAAGAAAGTATGTGCTACTAACTAAGAAAAATAAAATTAATATTATTTACCTATTATTTATTTATCTTCATCTTTTTCCACTTTTTCTTCTAGAGCGCAATATAGGCAACCATGATAACAATGCATATTTTGTTACCAAAAAAACTGGACAATTTATTAATGTAAAAGAGAGAGTTAGATCATCAGTTTTTTGATCAAATTATTTTCTTTCATACCATATTTACTTATTTAAACACCAGTTAAAACATCGATGATTATATGATCTATTTCATTATCAGGAGATTTTCAAGTTACAGCCTATGACAGTGTGAAAAAAACTGCATTATATAATGTAATGGTAGACTTTGGGATCCCACCTAAATTAGTTAAGTTGACCCAATTAACAATGCAAAACGTAAGCTCATGCGTTAGAATTAAAGAAGAAAACACTACGTTCTTTGGCATTAATAATGGTCTTAACAGGGGGGCGCGCTAGCGTGTCTCCTCTTTAATATTGCCTTGGAAAAGGCAATTAGACAATTAAATAGTAGAATGAATGTATGTATGTACAGCGTTAACAGGCCTTTTAGGCCCATTGCTGGATGGATAATTTCCATCGTTTACTATTCTTAGCTAACAGCTTCCAATCTCTTATTCACATCTCTCTGACATCTTCCATCACTACATCTCTTCATTTCTTTCTTGGTCTTCCTCTCTTTTTTTGCCCTCAGGTACTCTCCAAGCAATATTCTTGGCTATTAGTCTATTACCTTGCATTCTTTCTAGATGACCAAGCCATTCTAGTCTACGTTTTTTCACCACTTTTGTTATTGTAGAATTAGCATACAAATGATACACTTCTGCGTTAGTTTGTTTTCTCCATTCTAACGTCTACTACTTTTCCACCAAATATTCTGCGAAGTATGTTTCTTTCCCATGCTTCCAATGTATTCTGTATGGTTTTGTTCATAGTCCACGTCTCGGCAGCGTATAGCATTGGAGGTCTAATTATAGTTTTGTTTACTCTTATTTTTGTATTATGATGAGGTATATCTTTAGCCTTAATTATTTTTCTCGTAGCTCCAGCACACCTGTTGCTCTTGGTCAGTCTCAGGTTGATTTCAGTTTCAGAACTATATTTAATAGCAATGTAGACAACGGGTCTCCTTGGCGAACACCTTTTTTCACTTCGAATTCTTTTGAGACTGTACCGTTGCATCTCACAGCACAAATGGTTTGTCTAATTGTCATTTTTACCAATCTCATTATTTTTTCTGGCACTTGGAATTCTTTTAGTGTTTCTATTAACTTGTTTCTGTCTATTGTATTTTAGACAGCTTTGTAATCAATTAAAAGTACTTGTGCTGAAATGTTGTATTCATAGCAATTGATCAGGATTTGTTTTAGCATAAAAATTTGATAGGTTGTTGATCTTCCTTTCCGAAATCCTGGCACAAAAGCACCAGTTTTCTGTTTTAATCCGAATTGTATTAAAATACCAGTTAAACTCCACAACAAATCCACATTTAACTCATCCCAGATACTGTAATCTGGGATCATCTTGGGATGAGTAGTTAAGGCCTCTTGTCATCCGTGTATGTCGGTTCTTTGCACTACTTCTCATTGTCTCAATTTCATTTTTTCCAGATCTTCTCTGACCGCATCTTTTCCTAGGCTATCCTACAGACCTGATCCTGTTGTTCTTTCCGAGAACACATTGTTTATAGTTCGATTGTTGTTACTGCTTACCACATATCCTGCCCATTTTAGTCTATAATAAAGGATGTTCAGAACGATATAATCTAATTATATCACAAGTTATTTATTGATCACTCTGTGTATATAATGTGGAATAATAAATGTTTCTTGTTTTAAGCATAATCGCTACTCATCATTAAGATCACATTAAGAAATTCGTTAATAAGTCATTCAAATTCCTACTAAAAACGAATAAAAGTAAAATATCTTCTTAGGTACCAGGCATTTCATTTATGCATTCAGTATCAAAAACGTTGATCCTAAACCAGAGTTAATTCACTTAAAAATATCAGGTAGGTTTCTTTTAAAATATACATGTAGAAGCTCATTTTATTTTCTTTACAGTCAATAATAAAATTTTAAAATATTAATCTATTGTTATACTCAAAGGGAATAAGAAAAATGTAAGGGAGTTCGGGACATTTCAATAGCCAGATATTTGATGACTTTTTCCTTAAAATATACCTAAGCAAACCTGTAAGTTTTCTGCAGAAATTTCAGCGAGATTTTTTAATTATTAACAACTTCGTACTGCCCTTAAATTAAATATTGTCCAATAAGTTCCACTTTCGAGAATCTGTTAAGTAACAGAAATCTCTGGATCATAAAATGAATCCGGTCGAGGTGTTAATAGCAAATTTACCATTTCCAATATCTAACAACTGCTTCTAAAACACAACTGCACTTTGATCCTGTTGCAAAAACACTTGCACGTTATTTGTCAATTGTAGCGTCTTTAATACTGCCACAAATTAAATGATATTAGGCATGCGTTTAGTTCGTTCGCAGCAGTTAATCAGGGAATAATTAAGGAAAAAGTAAGGAACAATAAATAGAATCATAGCTCCACCAAAATGATTTTGCTTATCACGAATATCTCTCAAAGTTCTGTCTAGCCTCTGTAATTACCTTTTTCGGCCTTCTTCTTCTTCTTCTTCTTCGTCTAGCCATTCACGTCCACATCTGAACATAAGCCTCTTCAAGTCTTCCTTTCCATTGTTTTTTATTGTACGCTACTTGTAGCCAATTTTTCCTGGCAGTCCTTTTCAGATCATCTGTCCATCTCATAGGAGGTCTGCCTCTGGGTCTTTTGTGTTGGTATGGTCTCCAGGTTAAAATTGATCTGTGCCATTTGTTTAGATCGCTCCTAGCTACATGTCCAGCGTATTCCCATTTCAACTTTAATGATTTTTGCACCACATCGGTGACTTTGGTTTTCTGTCTTATCCATGTGTTTATTTTCTTGTCCTTAAGTGATATACCTAGCATTGCTCTTTCCATCGCGTGTTGAGTGACTCTAAGTATATTCATATTTTTTTTTGCGATTGTCCATGTTTGTGCCGCATAAGTTAATATCGGCATAATGCATGCATCAAAAACTTTAGATCTAAGATATAATTGAATTTATTGATTTCTAAGTATATAGTTCAGTTTACCGAATGCTGCCCAAGCTAACTTTCTTCTTCTTTTTATTTCTTCAGTTTGAATTTCCCTATTTAGGATTATTTTTTGTCCTAAGTATATATATTCTTCAACTTTTTCTATAACTTAATCGTTTATTATTGTCACGGTGTCTTCGGAGTGCATGACTTTTGTTTTGTTTAAATTCATTTTCAGTCCTATTTTAGAAGATTCGGTATGTAGTTCTAAAATCATGGTTTGCATTTCTTGTAGGTCAGTAGCTATCAGGATTATGTCTTCTGCAAATCGTAGATTACTGAGGTAGCGACCATTGATGTTTATTCCCTTATATTTCCAATTTAGGTTTTTAAAAACGTCCTCCAAAACTAAGGTGAACAGTTTGGGTGATAAGGTATCTCCCTGTTTGACTCCCCTGTTTAATGGTACAGGGTTCGTGTGTTCATTTTCATTTAGGTAGTATGTAGCTGTAGCTTGGTTCATAGTTTCTTTTATTAAGTTAATATATCTGCTGTCTATTCTACAATTTTGCATTGCGTTTATTACGGCCGTGTGTTCTATGGTATCGAAAGCTTTTTCGTAGTCTACAAATGCTAGGAAAACTGATATCTTGTATTCGTTACATTTTTCTATTAATATTTTTGTGGTTAACAGGTGATCGGAAGTTGAATAGCCTTTTCTAAAACCTGCCTGTTCATATGGCATATCGTCTAATTTCCTTGTTAGTCGAGTAGTTATGATTTTGGTGAGTATTTTAAACTCTAGTGTTGGCCTTTGGCGGCCCATTTATTTCAAACAATTAATTTGCATACCTGTAAAATCTTTGCCATTGTGCTATTTTTGGCTATGTTACAATCTAATGTTCCATCAATTTGTATGAAGCTAACGCTAGGACTTTCGCTAGCGTATTAGAACGCTAATACGCTAGCTTTCATAAAGTCACAAAGAAAATGATGTATCTTAAATTTTCTTTGATGAAAAATATATTAAAATAAACCAAAAGTAATAATTAATAAAGGAAATATTAAATTAGAAGGTGGTCTATGTTTTGCCTCTCTAAATTTTCAGAAATATAGGACAATGAAACATTGAAAACGCCCAATTGAATTGTTGGGTGAATGATCCTATATAGTATAGTATCTAAAACAATTTAAACAGGAAAAACTCAAAACAAATAGAAATGTTTATAATATACATTGTAAAAAAAAGGTACCACTTGTAAAAACTAAAGTAATTCTTAAATTGGCATAATAAAATAATTTTGACGTTTAAATTCTCATTAATGTATTTATTTTAATTGTTCACAGAATGTTCAAACTACTAGTCCTTCTCTCTACAGTCTACTATACTCATGCGTACTCTACTGGTGCGCCACTAGAGGTGTGTGACACTATGATACCAAAGCACCCCTTTACTCCACAGACGTCACAAATTCCATACAAGTTCGGTTTTAATAAAGACAAAATAAAAGCTGGAGAAAAAGTAGACATAACCATCACTGGTACATTTAAAGGACTGTTGCTAGAAGTTCGAGAAGGAGACAACGCTGTTGGTGAATGGGTTGTTGCAGATACCGATCCAGACTTTCGAACTCTTAACTGCCATGGCAATAATAATGTAAGTACCAAACAGATTAATCCAATATTAGTTATATATCTAAAGTTTTATTTCAATAGACAACAAATTTCAATGTCTTTATGTACTGGACAATTTAAGTTCTCTGAAGATTGTATTACAGCATTTCTTAAGAAAATTTGATCCTAATCACGAACTTTTATTTTCAGACCGCCCTTACACACAAAAATGCTCATTATAAATCTAATGTTAATTTAACATGGAAAGCGCCTAATAAAGTAGGAAAATACATCTTATAGTAAGTATTTTTATAATTCATTTTAAATATCGTTTTCTATTCTTCTTCTTTCAAAGGTTTAATCATTTAAAAAAACTCGAACTTTAATGTTAACCCAACCAGTGGTTGAAGAAAAGTATTAAATATTACGGCAATATGCCGATGTAATTGGATCACTAACCGGAAACCATAAATCTCCACTTAAAGTAAAATTTCAATATTCGAACTTTCGTACGGGAGTTTGCCAATTCTATGGAAGTTTGCCAAATCTACGGAATAATTATTTGGTTGTAATACTAATACTTTAATTTCTAAAGAGAACAGAAAATCTAAGCTTGATCATCGTAGTGAAAAGCTAATTATGGTAAGCTATTCAGATAATCTTTTCGATGATGTCAGTGACTCCGGTTCTTCTCCTGATGTCTTCGTTGGTTATTCTGTCTCGCAGAGTTATTCCTAACATGAACCGCTCCATTCTTCTCTGCGTGACTCTCAGTTTGGTAGCTGCTGCTTTTGTTAGGGTAAGTGTTTTTACTCCGTAAGTCAAGACAGGGAGGAAAAAGATAGCCAGACTAAAAATTCCAATAAAGGTTAATGGAATGGAAGCCAAGGGAAGACAAGAGAAGCCAAGGGAAGACAAGAGAAGCGTCGGTCGACCACCTACAAGATGGACTGACGATTTAAGAAGACTCAATAAAAACTGGATAAGAGCGGCGCAAGATAGATGGGGTTGGAAACATGAGGAAGAGGCCTATGTTCAGCAGTATACTCTTAAGGCTGGATGATGATGATTCAGATAATGATTACAGACTATGAAATCTAGAAGAAATATGAATGATAAGATGAATATTAAAGGTAATTGAAAAATTGTCATTTTAAAACGACAAAGCGAATTTTCGAATAGAGTTCAGACGCGAACAAGAGAACTTGATGAACTGATGGCATCAAACTAATTGTTGGTCACGCCTGCATCCAAAAAATAACCAGCAATACCGAATGGACACATCTAAGGGAGGTTACATCTGACGACGGAGGTTACAGCTATAAATAAGTTAGTAGCAAACGAGAGATAAGGTCCACGAACAAGCTCGTGTCGATTTTATAAAAAGGAAAAAGGTACTATGTAGCAGCGATATCAACTCCCTCTTAAGGATCCCTATTCTCAGATTTTATATCACTTAATAATGACACGTACAAGAAACTCGAAGCGTTTCACCAGAGTTCCAAATGTAGACGTATTAAACTAACAAAGAAATACTTCTGGGATATACTGCGTAACACAAAATATCAAAAGCTTCAGCTAATTATGCAGGGTAAAGCCCGCTAATCACGATCCAACGCCGCAGTACGATTTTGTCGAATACTATTAAATTGAACGTAATTTGATATGATAAAACCTTTAGAAAAAAAGCTGTGAATATTTGGATGTTAAAGTTCAAAACGTGAAAGAGGATAACTAATGATGAAGAGTTGGTAAAAAAAGAAAATTAATAATTTTCGAACATGTTACAAAACGGAATTAAAATTATTTGGATATAATCGCAATTTTTCTAATACATGTACGTGACAGTATGTATGTCTTTTCAGCAACCAATCCTTGCACCACCACTACTTTTTTTTATTTTTTTTTGTTTATCCAAAAATAGCAAAAGCCTCTAAAAGTATATCGTTATCTGACATGTTTCTAATTTGAAAGTAAAACTTATACTGCAAAATCGGTACGTGTGTGTTCCCATCCCATTATTGTACTGCAATTGCATTTGACAAAATCGTAATGTGCCGTTTGAACGTGAGTTAATATCGTATGAAAATCAGTCAAGAATGACACAGAAGTGGCTAAAGAACTTATGACAATGGTAGAAAAACACAGATAATTGCCAACGTTTGATACAACACGGCTCACTACTGCCTTTATTAAAAAAATACTCGTGCTCATATGCAATTCGAACGCAAGTAAAACAATTTGTTTTGAGTTTGTTAAAATTTCTAAAGATTTTGTTTTCTTTACCTTACAAAAGATCGAAATGTGAGATCATATGAGATAATATTTTTGTATATTTATGTAGTATATATTAATTCAATTATGTTGCTAAATCACTTTTTAAACTTATATTTTATCTTTTTAGTGCCACGATTGGGACAACTGTAGAAAGTTTCTGGGCACATGAAGCTATTAAATTAATTAATGTCGTCTAAAAAAGTTAACATTACAAATACGTTATTTCTGTTGAAAATTATTAAGATGTGATAGATTTTAATATTATATATTTTATTAAATTTTTTTCTTTATTATGAATAAAATTGTAAGGATGTGGTTAATCAGTGCCGTGAGAATTAAGTCTTAAAAATAAATATAATATATGATGAAGAAAGTATGTGTTATAAAAAAACAAATCAATTACGAAGTTCATTTATGTTTGTAAATGATAATTACGTCTTATAGGACTATTTAGATAGTTCCATACATGCGTAAAAGGATTTCCATGAGAGAAGCAATGCCCAATTTCTCTATTCCAACTTCAGCTATTCTCTAACACACCTGTTGGAATATTAATGTATCTCGTTTGTCAGTGCTCCACATTCAACAAATGCCATCTCCGTACAATCTTTCAATGATATTCCTGCCTATACTATTATCGATCTTCCTCTATGATAAAGCTAGAGGGAATAATAGTAATTTGGATAAATCTTTCGCTCGTTTGCTACTTAACGTTCCTCCTACCATCAGGATAATGCCAGCAAAATCATAATTGACCAGAAAATATAACGTTTTGCCACTTACTATCATTACAGTTAAGCTGCTGACGAGTATACTAAACTGAACACCTGGGTATGTCTAAGCAATTATAGACGACTAACTAATCTGCAAGTCTTTAAACACAGGTTACCTTAATCAGCGGGTATCGTCCACGTACTTATTTCTGATCCCTGAACTTTGCGGAATTACAAGTATCGATAGGCATATATATGTATGTATTTTTTGCATCTATATATGTGTAGATACATGAGAATGTTCTCAATTCCGACACGGTGCTTCCCAATGGCTATTAGGAAACATCCTATACTTATATAAATAGAAAATAAAACAGGTTTGAATAAGGTATAACCAAATAAACACCCGTGGATTAAGTAAGATCATGTCATGGACTGCAGCTATATCAAAACTGTAGATTTGTCAATTGAACTGTCCCACATACATACACAGACAAACACATACGCACGCGCACTAACGTTTTTTTTACCGTGGTTAGTCGGTAAATCACAAACAGCTGCACCACAACTGTTTCATCATTATATTATGATGGTCATATTCGTTCTGCAAGTGATCCAGAGGTGTACGCCCAGAGAAGGCACGGTACAGACATATTAAACGTAGGAAAGAAACAAATTTTCGTAACTTCTCAACGAAATAAAGCAATTGAAAGAACAGTGAATAGGTACTAGAACTTTTAAAAAATGGCATGTATTAAACGAGGTGTGTTGTTTTGAAATGGTACATGACATGTAATGAGCTTATCAAGGAAACGTATCGTATCACTTATAATAAACTGGGAAGTAAATCAAGCTATTTATAGGTATATTGCTCATAGTCGCACCTTGTAGGCATTCTAATCACTGCCTGATCTCTTCATAATCTCCCTTTCTCTATGATTATAAAAGTATTTTTATTTTCTTTTTCATTTTCGCCTTTAATCTCTATTTTATCAAAAAATTCCTTGTTCCTCATACATTCGTTATTTTTTTACCAAAACTCACTCTAATTGAGAGAGTTTAATTAAATCTTACATCTCTTGCAACAATTAGTTTTTTTTTTAGATTCAATATCCTGTTTGAGCATAACCCATTTCATTATATTTGAATTTGAATCAAATTAACACTACATTCCTTGGTATATGACAATAATTGATACAACCAAAAATTGTAAAATTACTCACAATTGACTTTTTATCATACTGTATTTCTACTGGTCTTTTATCTAATTTTATTATATTCAATACTCTTTTGATACCTAATATTGCTCTAGCTCTTTCAACTCTGCTGTTCTTTTTCTCAGCTTTCAGGAAGCTCTCAAAACTAACCCAGAAAATTAGTAAGCGAATAATATAAGATGGTTGGGATATATTTGACATAGCCCAAGAAAAATCTATGCCCAGAATGTTACAGATGGAAGAAAAGAAGATTCTTCTTCTTAGGGTGCCTGTCCGTTCCGAACATTGGCGATCATTCTGGCTATGGTGACTTTGTTGGTTGCTATACGAAATAGCTGTGTTGAGGTTTTTCTATACCATCCTCTCAGGTTAGCAAGCCAGGATATTCTTCTTCGTCCTGCGGCCTTTTTTTCTTTAATTTTACTTTGCAAAATGCATTTAAAGTAGTTCATATCTGCTTGATTTCCCATTATATGTTCCAAGTAGTGCAGCTTGGGGCCCTTCACGATGTTAACCAAATCCGTAGGTAGTTGTGTTTATCCTCCGCAGTACTTCTTCATTAGTGACTTTGTCTGTCCATGGTATCTTCAGAATCCTTTTGTATGACCATAGCTCAAAAGCCTAAAGTTTTGATAGAGTTTCTGCCTTCAATGTCCACGTTTCTACTCCGTACAGAAGCACTGAGTATACATAATATTTAAGGAGCCTTATTTTTGTTTCTAGGGTGAGGTCATAGATCTTGAAAACAGAACTCATAGTCAAGAATGCACTTTTTGCCTTTCCGATACGACATTTAATCTCTTGGGTATTGTCCCACAACTCATTGATTATAGTTCCCAAGTAGTTGTACTGTGAGACACGATCAATTCTCATTTGCTTCACATACAGATTTACTCCAGTTATGTTTTCCTTGCTGATGATCCTTAGATTGATTTTGCTGGTTTATATCCAGTCCATATTTTCCACTTGTTTCTAGTATTTTGTTCATTAGAAGATGATAACCAATAAAGACAGAGGTATACCTAGCCAGCCAGAGACATCAAAGAAATGGGAATAGCAGCCTGAAGAGAAGTAATTGACAAAAAAAATTAAGTAAGAATTAGGAAGACCTCTAGTACCTATCTATAAAGTAAATGCTATTTATTCCCAGATAAAGTTATGTATTATTGACTAGATTGTACGAAAGTTAAATTGTTCCAGGTATCTCAACACTCATTTTTCATTATAATTTGGTTTTTGTTACTGCACAATAGTTTTTTGTATCCTGACACTAACTCTTTCTTGCTGTAGTAATTTTACTTGTATTTAAAATTAAAAGTGAAACTGGAACAAACCATGAAGTGGAGATATCCAGGAGTGGCTAGTATACCTGTTGAATACAAAGCATGTGGTGTTCGTGTGTATTAAGGTATAAAAAATGCTTATTAAAAGCTTAAAATTTTTATTTTAAAGAAGATCTTTTCGGAATTGAATCATTCCATCATCAGTTTAATAAAAAGTTGTTAAAAACATTGCATTTACCTTACCTTTATAAATACAATGAGGATTGTTTTTTAATATGGATGTCCTTCCAATGTTTTTATGTGGCCATACAATGTTTTTATTAAACTGATGATGGAATGATTCAATTCCAAAAAGATCTTCTTTAAAATAAAAATTTTAATCTTTTAATAAGCATTTTTTATACCTTAATACACACGAACACCACATGCTTTACTTGTATTTATTGTACTTACCTTACACTGTAAAGGATATTATTAAAATAAAAAAAACTGTGTTTCCTGTTTATTTTATTAATGTTACTGTACAAAATTAAAATACAATACAAAACAGTAACTTTCAATCAAAATAATCTTCAATGTCTATATCAGGATTTAAAATATCATCCCCATAAGGTGACAAATCTATTTGATTTAATATAAGGTTTTCAGCCATTTCTTCTAAATCTGTATCACCGATTAAAACAGCACCTTGTAATTTATTATCTTCCAAAACGAATTTTATATATTCAAGACCTTTTGTCATTCTAATAAGGATTTCATAGTTTCTTCCCAATTTTTGTCCATTGAACAATCCAAGTAGAATAACCTTATAGCCAAATAGTTTTGTTGAATGGGCAAACATTTCAAAACAAAAATCTTGCAAAACCTCTTCCTTGTTTAAGTGTCCAACTATGGCTTTGGCTGCATATGACCCCATATGTCTGGCTTGTGTCCACAACTTCATTTGAAACCAATGTTTTGCTAGGTTCCAATTGGCACTACAGACATCACCAGCTGCATATATATTTGGAAGATTGGTTTGCATATATTCATTCACTTTTATTTCACCATTTTCGGAACATTCCAATGAGTTATGTGACTTGAAGGACATTCTTGGAGTTACACCAGTTGCAGAAATAATCAAATCACAATCTAATTTTTCACCATTGGATAAAGTTACTGCCAAAGCATGTGTACAATCTTTCAATCTCTCAACTAGTGTTATTTCAGTTTCATAGTGGACTTTTACACTAGATGGCATACTTAAACCCCCAGCCCCTTGTATAATAAGATTTGTGTACCAATCAGGACCTAATGCAGCACCAGATTTATGGAAATCTTCTTCTTGGTACCTCATTCTCTTACTAACGGGTTCTTGTTTAACATCATCTTGATTCAGGGATGGAAGGAAAAACTCAGCTGCACCAGGATCAACAAAAGTAGCAGAAATGTGTCGATCCTTAATTACCCAATGAACTTGCATATTTTTTATTTTATAAACCAGTTCAGAAGCAATACCACCATTACCTACAACTATAACTTTAGTGGCTTTGTTTATTTTTTTCAAAAATGTATCTACAGAATCTGTATCTCTTATACCCAGAATTTCTTCAAACTGTTGAGCTTGAGGTATAAGCTTGGGCCTAGCTCCAGTACATAAACATAAATATTGATATTTGATCATTTTATTCTCAGTAGTTATGATGTACTTCTCACTGTCATGGATTTCAGCAAGAGTATCATGAATAACTTTAATATTTGGATGCTTTGATGAAAATTCAGAAGAGGCCATCTCTTGAATATTAAACTCAGTCAAAGTTCTTGTAATAGCATGAAGATTAGTCACTGTCTTAATAAGGGATGATTCACTAAGAAGTACAATAGATTTTTCAGGTTCAAAGAAAGCTAAAGTCTCTGCACAACTAACACCAGCTATCCCTCCTCCTACAATAACAAATGTTGCCTCCATTATTTATTTTTCTGAATAATATTCTGAGTAATCGTATTTTCTAAAAGGTACATCAAATGTAAGCAGACCTCGGTCATATGCTCTTGTAATAGCAACTATTAATTGTTGATGTTTCTTCTGACACAATCCAGTTTTACTATAACTTAAAATACTTCCTGTCTGGGGAGAAATGAACTGCTTCAACAAATCCACATTTTGTTCATGTAATATCAGATATTCATCTCTACAAATTGGACATGGGTTACCTGTAGAAATTTGACCACCTCTTACACACGTTTTCCTTGTCTTTCTAGGAGGAAAAAGGCCTTTATGATTTCTTCTGTATAAAACCCACACTGGTTGGCCTTCGTACGTTTGTTTGTATGCGGCACTTTTAAGATATCTGATGCTAGTTTCTACTGGAATTTGCTGGGTACGGTCTTTAGTTATTTCTCTGGTCTCTATAACTCGTTGATCTTCCTTTGATTGTTGACAAAAGATCGACGAAGTAAATAAATTTCTAGGTAAATTTGATTTCGTTAAACTTAAATTCTGTCGCAAAAATGGTATAGAAAACATTTTCCAACTCTAACCTATTTTCCACTTGCTTCTACCATTGATGGGTGACATTAGACAATGACAATGACTAATGACTTAAATTCAAATCAACTTTTGAATTTAACTACTAACTGACAACTGACACTAACACTCATATATTTCGAATGAATGTTGAGTTCCTATTACCCCCATATATATTTCCACTTCAATATGTCTCTATTTAAAGATATTAATGGTACAAAATCCAATAGTATTAATTTATTTGTCTCAAATAATTATATTAAATAGAATTCTCGAAATATTCTTTACTTATTTTAACTTATTTAAATATCTTATGTAAACCATTTTGAACATACCAAATTATCGATGTTATTGATTTCGATAATAAAATTAAACTTAGGATATCGATTTTTCAAAATCCTTCATCGTCAGTGGATTACGCAAATTTCTTTTTAATTAGTTCAAAAAATATATAAATAGGGGGCAAATCGTTCAGCTATGTTGGCATTGGCCGTATTTTAATTTTTTAATAGTTAGTGCGTTTTGATTCGTCACTGTCATTGTAGATATTTGTTCATATTGGCAAATAAAAGTAACGGAAGAGCAAGAAAATATTTGTTTAATTTCGCAAAATAAAAAGTACTTATTTTATTTTTGTGACGTGTAAAAATGAGCATTTCTTTGTTAAAAATTGCGAGGTGTGATAAATAAGTATAGTGCAGACCTGGATTTTACCCATTTCAGCTCTAGTCATGTCTTTTCCTTGTAGTAACTGCTATATGCAATTGAACTGAGTGTGTAAAGTTATCAGTTAACCAGTATTATTAAACAATTTAAGTTTGTGCTGTTTTATTTGGAGCGTTATTAGGTAATCAAACAACTATGCAGCGTTGGTTTTTCTTAGAGGACCCAAGTTCTTCCGAAATTCGCAATGGTAAACCCGAAACCAGAGTTTCAAGTACCTCACTAAAGTCTGCTGAATACACACCTAAAAAGTGGTTGTTCCGTGTTAGAGTGCGTGAAGTATTACGAGGCGATGAAAATGTTTGTGTTTGTGGAGACTTGCCAGAGCTGGGCTCTTGGCAGCCAGAAAAATGTGTACCCTTAATAAGGGAGGAAGATTCAGACATTTGGTCTGCAATTATAGAAATACCTGAAAAAAAGAAGGTTGAGTTTAGGTACTGTGTTTGTATACTGGTGGAACTTGGTATACAAGTAATAGTGAGAAGCTGGGAGACAAATCTTCAAGCTAGATCTGTTGATTCGATATCTGGTAATTCTCCTACATTACATGAGGAGCCTCATGAATATGGATGTTATGGTGATGCTGAACATATTGATAGGGGTAAGTGGAAATATAATATTCATTTTTGTTTGATTAATAACCTTCAAAACAATGATTACTGTTTATGTAATATGAAATCCATTGGACTGGGGACAAACTTCCCCACATTTAACAAAACAATTATGTTTTATTCATTTAGTCAGTAAACCCAAAATATCTACTGCTAGAACTTCTGTTTTTTGTTGTAAAACATTAAACACACTGTTTAGACTCCCTTATCATGAAATATTACAGTTTATTTTTTGCTAATACACCCAAAATTCAGGAAGAATAGTGGAAAATGTATTTTGGACAACTTGTCTACTTGGACCACCGTCACACAGACCTGTCTTGTCTGTGTCATGTGAGATATAATTTCAAAATTATTGACTTAACTTGGCAAATAGGTTCAGGCAGTTTATTAAACAATTTGATGCAGCAATAAAGAGTGTTTTTTTTCTGTTTATACTTACTTAACCTGTGTATTGGAATTTTATAATTATATAACCTGGTAATTTACTATACTATTGGGCTCAAAGTTCCTAAAGAGTATTTTATTTTTATATAGAAACAGTAAGCATTCTTGAATAAATACAGCGTAAACTGTTAAAATATTATTACTCCTAAAATGCCCTCTACATGATTCCCTACTTTTTAAGTCAAACATAACTCTGATTATTTTTTTTCTGAACCAGAAATATATTATTTATGTCCCTACTGTGGCCAAAATTTATTAGACCATATCTAAATTTTGCTTCAAAATTAGCATGATACACTGTTTTTAATGAGTTACTATTCATGTATTTTTTTAGAAATCTAAAGCTGTAAATCACTTTACTCAAAGACATACATAACTGGTAAACATGTTTATCCCAACATAAAAAACTGTCAATATTATAATCCTAAAAATTTGGTACTGCTGCTAATATTTTAAAGTGTCATTATTTACAATAATACTGTTTGGCATATTTGAATGTGCATAATTTGTCTTAAACAAAAGAAGATCTGTTTTATTTTGATTTAAAACCAACCTATTCATAGAAAACCAGTCTTTAGCTTTCTGGAACTCTAAACTAGCATTAACGCTTAGAACAGACATGTCTTTTACCACTGACTAAAATGTTTGTATCATCTGCATAATTTGTTATGCTGGAAGTAGTATTAGGCACTAGACCATGAAGATCATTGATATAGATCACAAACAGTAAAGGACCAATCACACTTCCTTGTGGTACTCCAATATTGATAGTGATTTCAGATGAGATGCCTATTTCAGTGTTTTTATGTATTTTTATTAAATGTCTCCTATTTGCCAAGTAGGACTTAAACCAGTTCAATGCTGGTCCAAGTATACCATATTTCTCCAATTTATCAAATAATATGTCATGCACTAAACAGTCATATGCCTTTGATAGGTCCAAAAAGAGACCCAAAGCCATATGACCAATCTCAGTACATTTCAAAATATCCCAGACAAATTGAAAAATTGCAGTCTGAGTTGATTTTCCCTGTTGATAACCATGCTGATTTGCACTAATAATATGACATTTTGTTAAAAAAATTCTGTTATCTGCCTATACATAGTCATTTCTAAGATTTTTGAAAAGGAACATAGAAGGCTAATTGGTCTATAGTTATTAATTAATTTAGGATCACCCTTTTTGTAAACAGGTGTTACGATGGCAGTTTTTCAGGTATTCAGGAAATACACCAGCTTTTAGTGAATTATTTATGATTGTAGTGAGAGGATTCACTATCTCCTTTATACAAAGTTTAAGTATTTTTAGTGGGTATTTCATCAATTCCACAACTCATTTTGTTTTTTAAATTTTTAGTTATATCCATAATTTCAGTTTCTGTCACAGGTGCGACAAACACTGAATTTATGTTACTTGCAATGTTGTCTTTATATTCAGTGTATTGTAATTGAGATAAAGTGTTATTTAAAGAAGTATTTAAGTGGATCATGTATTTATCAGCAATCTCTTGAGGACTACCTCTACTTTTATTGAATTTACACTTTTTAATTGACCATTAATTTCACTAACAATTTGCCACATGCATTTTTGTTGGCAGCTTCAGACATCCTGTTTTCATACAGCTTTGAGTACTTAGTACAAGTACTTAGGTATATTTAAAAAACCTTAAAAGGGCTAAATCAAAATAACGAACGTTTTTGGAATAATAACTCCATCATCAGGTTAAAAGCTGGTTAACGTGCCTGAGCCGCCAAAATATTATGGTGTCTTAGGCTAATATTTTGGTGGCTCTGGCATGTTAACCTGCTTTTAACCTGGTGGAATGATGGAATTATCATTCCCAAAACATTTGTTATTTTGATGTAGCCCTAAGGTTTTTCTAACCTACTTACAGATTTAAACCTCTTTTTGTGATACATATTATACAGCCACCTGCAGGAATTTATTTTCCTTGTGTAATTTGTATAAATTTCCTATTTATCAATAATATTTGTCTCTTTCAGGTTGGCTAAGCAAAGAAACTGTCATTCAATTGAAACTCTGCAATAACCCCTTAGTACTCTTTAGGCCAAAGTATCAAAATAGGAATATAAATATTAAAGTGACTCCTGTAAGTTTGACACGCTCTAACACTGGTTTTGCCAAGACTATGTCCGAAGCTCTAGAAGAATCTTTAAGTGCAGATACTCAGGATTCAGTCGAGGCTCCCAGACATGCTTTCACAGAAGTAGCTAGCTTAAATGCAGAGGATCCTAGTTTTTATCCTCAAAACCAATTTGGCAATGAGTTGGTTAAAGATGATATGTTAATTTTCCAATCTACAGTGTTGTTTCCCTCTACTATTGCTTTCTTAATTGATCTCTATATATACAGCTCTCGTTCTGGAGAGGGAGAGCCTCCTTATCATGCGGGTTTTAGTTACCTCCTGCCTTCAGTATTACAAGGATCTGAAGGTAATGTAGTGTTACCAGTTACAAGTACAAAACACCGTCCTTTGGGTGAAATTAGGATAGAATATTTAGTGATTGGTCCGATGCCTAGCTTCAAATGTGATATGTTTATTTCTTATGCAAGGCATTGGAAAAAAACCAGATCCGGCCTTGATGTTGGTCATAGAGGTTCTGGTTCTAGTTTTAAAACAAAAGTACAAAATTGTGCCGAGGTTAGAGAAAATACCATAGCTAGTCTGAAGAATGCTATCGAGCATGGAGCTGATTTTGTGGAGTTTGATGTACAGTTGAGTAAAGATTTAGTGCCTATAATTTATCACGATTTCCATGTTTGTATATCCATGAAGCGGAAGAAGGAACTAGCAGAAACTGATATGCTGGAGATACCATTGAAAGAGCTGACATTGGATCAGTTGAGGTTGTTAAAGGTTTGTCTTTTTTTATATGATCATTTAAGACATTTTTCTACAAAAATGGAGGTTCTGCTTTCGAGTATCATTACAATTTAAAAATAAAAGACCAAAATATGGAAAATTTAGAACTTTGCCATGAACTGTATTATTCATCAGTAAAATTTGACTTGATTGATTATATTACATTAATACAATAATATTGACATTTGGCATGGAGAAAATATGGTTATTGCATCATTTTATTATAATATAGTCAGCTGGATTATCAAAAAAAAATCAAGGACTCTTATTTTCTTCTCTGAATTTACAAGAATAGTTTCTTTATCAAACACATTTTGTAGAAAAAAATAGTTTTTAATTTGATTTGTGTATATACAAATAATCCAAACCAAATTATTGTATTTCCAGGTTTACCACTTGACAGAAGGTAAATCTAAAAACCAAAGGTTCTTTGATGAGGAACTAGATGATCACCAACCATTTCCCACTCTTCAACAAGTCTTAGAGACTCTGGATAGCCATACTGGATTTAACATCGAAATCAAATGGACTATGCAATTAAATGATGGATCCTACGAACTGTACCATCCAACTGATCTTAATTTGTACCTGGATACGATACTCGATGTAGTGCTTCGATATGGTGGTGATAGAAGGATAATATTTTCCTGTTTCAACCCGGATATCTGCCAAGTGATCCGGTTGAAGCAGAATAAATATCCTGTGATGTTCTTAACCGTCGGCGAAAGCCAGATTCATGCTAAATACAGGGATCCAAGGTGTTGGTCAATTCCGGCTGCAGCGCAATATGCAAAGATGATCGAGATCTTGGGAATTAATGTACATACGGAAGACCTGTTGAGAGATTCTAGCCTAGTAAGTCTTTACTTTATTACTATTTTAATCTGAATATTATTTTTGACATTGGCAAAAAGCATAAAACTATACAAGGTGTCCCGTATCATTATGTTATTTACTCCTTTGTGCTGGCGACAAGCTTCTGTTCTAAATCTGCGATTGTGATGTAGCATTTTTTTCACTCTGGATATCATAAAAATTTCAAAAGGTTAGGTTAGGTTAGGTAGCAAACATTTCGAACTGCGTCTTAAAATTTTATAACGAAGTATAAGCATAATAGAATTGTTTATTTACATTGGCAAATGCTGTTGAGCGAAACCAGTTACTGTTTCTTCCTTATCTCACGATTTCTTTCTCAATCTCGCATGATTATATGCGAGAATAATAATATCTGTATTATACAATTAAATAGCCCGTTTAAAATTCAATGTCGAAAAGTATTGAATAGTTGAATGTTAAGTACGAATTCAGGGGGAACTGTCTTAACATTTTAACACAAATAACGGACTGCCAGGGAGACCCCCTTTCGAAATAGGAAAAACTCGACTGGAGAGACATTCTAGTTGGCTAGGACCCACGCAGGGTTGTAAAGTCAGAATGATGATGACTTCCTAAATACAAACAAAAAATTGTAGAATGAGTATCTGTTCCCAAGTTTATGACATATGGGATAAGAAAAACAGTTATTGCCGACTTTGTAAGTGCATTGAATTAAAAACTTATTATATAAAAATATATATTGATAAGTAAATCACTTAATTTTTGTAATACAAAACTGAAGAAGGCGAAGAAAGCACTAAATGGCAGATAATTAAAATATTTTTTAACCCTGTAGGAATAAATTTAGTTGTTTACTCGCACTATTCCTTTTCGTTGGATCGAATTTAAAAAAAATGATAATTTTGGACATTCAACTGTCACACGAAACCTTTCATCATTTCAGCAATAGACGTGCACTATCAATAATAAAAAAGGGGGACGAAAAAAAAATTTCACAGAGAAAGGCCTTTTAAAAAATTTATTTGGTGCTAAGACAAACAAACTCTTAAGAAGTTAGCGCTATTAATAACGTGGCGGATAATATAGCTGGATTTTTGTTATCAAATATATTTTTAACACAAGTATTTAATTGATAAAATCTTTGCGAAGTATAATTTAACGAAATGTCAATCCACATGTACTAACAGAAGTGGTTCTAGATTAAGGCAAGGTTATGCATTTATCTTTTATGTAAAGAGTTTTGTTTTTAATGTTCTTTACATTTTGTAATTAATATTTAATTAGGTTTTCTCGTATTTACAATGTACTTAAAAATATATAGAGCAATTGTGTCAAATCGTACTTAGTATGGTTTTTATTTTATAACTCATGCTCAAAGGAGAGCCTTCCTGTATGGTTGGGTATGTTCGATAGTTGATGTGTTAGGTGGAGGGGAAGTTGTCTGGGAGTAAAGAGACAGCACCGATTCGGGTCCACAAATTTTTTTTCCCTAGATCTACTAAAAAACTGGCCATTTCACAACATCTGGCATCAGCGCCTCCAATAAGAGCCTATATGTTAGAGTGAGATAGAAAATCAATTTTTCCCCAGGTTCTGGGGAAATTAAAAAAAAATTTAAGGTCCATTTTGATCATTTTTTGACGCTTTTTGTCGTAAGTGTAAAACGGCTCGTCGCATCGTGACGTAAGAGGTATCATTGGAAAGGGGAGGGGGTAACGTATCCAGCATTTTTCTAACTTTTTCCCATATTGTCTTGATTGGCGAATTTCGATTAAGGCCTTCTACAAATTTCCTAAAATTATTCTTCCTTTTTTCTTTACAGAATCTTCTAGCTATAGCACATTTGTTTTTTACTAATCATTGATAAATAGACATTTTTTTTTTAAATAAAAAAAAAAACTACTTAAAATGATAAAAAGTGATCGCTTTTCATCGCTTTTTTATCACTTTTATAAAAGCGATCGAAAAGCGATCGTTTTTCATCGCTTTACATAGTTTTTTCTTTAATTTTTAAAAAATGTTTATTTATCAATGATTAGTAAAAAACAAATGTGCTATATAGCTAGAAGATTCCTTGAAGAAAAAAGGAAGAATAATTTTAGGAACTTTGTAGAAGACCTTAATAGAAACTCGCCATTCATGACAATATGGAATAAAGTTAGGAAAATAGCTGGATACGTTAACCCCTCCCCTTTCCGATGATACCTCTTACGTCACGATCCGACGAGCCGTTTTACCCCCACCACAAAAGCGTCAAAAATGACCAGAATGGACCATAAATTTTTTTAATCTGGGGAAAAATTCGTTTTCTATCTCACTCTAACACATAGGCTCTTATGGGAGGCGCTGATGCCAGATGTTGTGAAATGCCCAGTTTTTCAGTAGATCTAGGGATAAAAACTTTTTTTGTGGGTTCGAATCGTTGCTGTCTGTGTACTTCTGGGTTTGAAATTTGCTTTTCATATTTTGCATTACGTTGATGTGTTTTCTTTTACTCTGTAACAGAAACAATCTTAGCATGTCGTTGGTCTAAATTTTTCGAATTATTTTTTTACTTTTTCACTTGTATTTTAGCTTGTAGAAAGGTAGAAATAATTTAAACGGTATAATATATAAATTAGTACAAATTGATACAATATTAAATACGGACATAAAAAGGATGTAATAAACGTTTATTGGATGGAGAGCAATGTATATCACTGTTTTAAATAAGGTTTGATGGAATGATTTAAATAATATGTATATACATTGTCTGATTGAGTCTCATTGTCCCCTAACGTTCACATAGTAATCTACTGCACTTCTTTTATAGTAGGTATTGTATATTAACGGTAAAATAGGGCTCGAATGTTTACACAGAACCGTTCAAATGAGGGTTGTGTTCCAAAAAACGGACAATGTTTAGCAAGTACTTAAAGTACTTGACAACTAAATTAAATTATTACTGCATTAGTCTATACTATTACATGATGAATTTCACGTTATATTTTCACGCACATTTTTGTTAATTCAAAGTGTTTTAATTCCAAAATTTTACAAAATAGTGATTCTATCACCTCTTTAGCAAAATCTGTATTTTATTTGTTTTATGAGATGTTCAATTTATTTATTTAACTTCTTCTTCTTCTTCCTTCTTGTATGTAGGCTTTAAAGCCTGTTTTCTTCTTCAATATTAGCCTCCTAAATTGTTTAAATTATCTTACCATCTTTTTCTTGATCCGCCAATACTTCTTCGTCCATTTGGTGACTTCTCTCGTGCTATTCGTAGTATCCTTTCCTCTGCCATTCTATTAATGTGTTCGTTCCACTCTTGTGCCCGTATTCTTGAATTTCAGGGAGTAGAAATTGCAAGAGAAAGTGACGTAAAAGTAGGCGTGGCTACCTAAAACCGAAAATGCTGTATTCTTGAAAAAAACTCTCCTAATGTGTGAGAGAAATGTCACTCCTTAAGGGAATAACAATTTCTACTGATAGTAGCTAAGAGAAATTGTAAATGGGAGCGAAAATAACAATACATAACCTTTCAAAAACCTAGGGAAGTATTTTTTTTTTAAAAAGCGGAAGTTAATAAAAGATGCATATCAATCATATGCTCTACTGGAATTATATTATATTTAATGATGTTTTGGAGGCAGTTGAAGATTTTCAAATTGGCCGGGATGTCCTCCAACCAACGGACCCATTTCTTTTGTCAGATAGAAAATTTTTACAAATTTTAAAATATATTTTGGAATATTCAAAGGTAGCAATAGTAGCAGTTAAGATTAAACTGCTCCAAAAAAATCACTGCTTTTTTGTCACCGTGATAATACTGGAGCAATCACATTTTGTCACAGCTACACAAAAATCGCAGGTTGGCCCACCACTAAGGGGAGTGATCAGATTGACGGTTGACAGTATCTTGTCCTTTGTCAATAATTAACTTTTGTGATTGGTTAAAATTTTCATTGAAAACCCGGCAACACTGTTCATAGTTTCTCTCATTCCTTTCTACTCCCCGTATTTAAGAATACAGCTTTTTAAAATCGAGAGAAATTATGATTAGACTAAGCGAGTTAGCTTAGTGGGGGAGTAAAATTTTCTCTCGATTCAAGAATAAGGCCCCTGTTTCTGTTTTGTCACCCATCCATTTTATGTCTTATATATTGCATACTCTTCTTATGTTTTCGCTTCTCTCCGTATTCCACAGATTTGTCCCTGATATTCGTCTTCTTCATCTCTGTTGTTTCTAGTAGTCGTTTCGTTTTAGATATGTCGGGTCTTGTCACCGCCCGTGTATGTTAATATAGGTCTAATGACTGCTTTATAGATTCCTCTTTCCGTGTCTTGTCTTAGGTTTTTGTTCTTCCAGATTGTATCATTACCTTGCTTCCTGCTTTATTATTTTCCCATCAATTTTGATTTTACATCTTAGTGGGTATTTAGATGTTGTCATACATTTGGTTTTTTGAAGATGTGTGTTTATTTTTGGAGCTCGTCTTCTGTCTCGGCGATTAATGCGGCGTCGTCTGCATAACATAATATTTGGATTTCTTTGTTCCCCATTCTGTAACCATGACCTTTACGTGCTGTTTGTACTATTTCGTCCATTATTATATTAAAGATAAGTAGGCTTAACGAGTCACCCTGTCTGATTCCGCTTTGTACTGGTATACACTGTATTAATTTTCCATTTATCTTTGCCTGTATTCGATTATGGAAGTAGATGTTTTTCGATGGTTTGTATAATATTTATTGGTATGATTCTTTTATACAGTAGGTGTAAGACGTCTTCGACTTGGATGCGATCTTAACCTTGTCAGGTCTATAAAACATAGATATGCTGGTTTATTGTACTCGATGGCCTTTTCTGTGATTTGTCTTAGTAAATAAAAAAAAAATAATATTTGCGTAGCATTTTTCTCCAAAAAGTTATACCTACATGAAATGTGATTGGCAAATTTAAACTTTTGACCTGTTTTTAAATTGTCTACAAAAATGGTTACTTATTAATATTATTCACAACATTTCCTCCTTGC